TTACATTTGAGTTCCCTTTCTGCCACTTTCTAGCTATGTGACCTTGGACATGTTAATTAATCTCTGTTTCTCAGATCAGCAGATTCATAGTAGAAACACCTTTCTAATTAAACATGAATAACTTAGAAAAAAAGATTAATGAGGATCACATGAAATGAGAGCAATTTTATATTTACATTTTTCTTATCAGAGAAAAAAATCCAAAATGTGTTTAGTCATTAAAAAATTAAGACTAGAAACATAGACATAACATAATGAGCGTATGCACACGTAGACCAGGCTATATTTTAACCCATTGAAACGACGACAGAACAGAGAGAAAAAAGCAAAACAGATCTAGAGACATAGACCAAAAGGCAAAAGCACATAAGAAAAATAGACTAACAGAGCTAGAGAGCAGACAGCAAAAAACAGAGGCACCTCCCTAAAAAAAAATCGGGAGGGGGGACGTATGTGTGTTATGTTGGAAGGGAGAAGGTAAGATACAGACAAGTAGAAGAAGCAATTATAGATGGGGCGGGGGGCGGGGGGGAAGCACAAGTCAACACTAACATAGGACCGGAAGAATAAAGAAAGTATAATTTCACTATTACTTTCATAATCTAAAGTCACCAGTATTGCATAGTATGTTTAAACAGTAAAAATGTTTAAAGGCATGTTGTAAGATTTTAACAACAGTCATACATGATACTTGCTCAGCTATTTGGGGTGGGGAGAGAACCAAGACTACGACCTGAAAAGAAGTCACATGCCTGAGATTATCAACACCAATCTAGTGAATAAACTAGTAAGGAATTGGATAGAAAAACTTACGCATTAAGTTTACCAAAGTAAAAAAAGAGAAAGTCCTAATATTTAAAATAAAATAATCACTATCCTACACTGACAATATCTTTACATTTTCTTTTGCAGATCTCCCTTATTTCTACAGTTTTGACAGTTCTGATTCTTGGAATTGTAATAACAAGGATGGTTTCATTGGGTCCATACGTGTAAGTTTTGTTGTTATATTTGTCTTTGATTTATAGCCTTCGCATACATATTTACATATGACATACTATTAATGCAGGAATATAAAGTGGTATAAATGTCATTTATCTTTATTATTTGACAAAATAAGTGAAAATGCAGATAAGTAAACAGGTATTTTTCAGTAGGACCCTGCAAGGGAGATTAAGCCAGTTTTACTTATTTAATGGACGACCCACTTAGAATAAAAAAGGGATTTTGAATAGTGGGAGAAAGGAACAAGTTTTACCAGTCTAGATTGAAATGGAAAGAATAAAGAATGTGGTGATTGTTTCTAATCTAATTGAACTAAATATAGCTGCTTTGAAAACCACCCTTTATTCTCATCTGAGATTATATTCTTTAATTATTTTGTGTTAACAAGCTCTGCCATTTGTGAACTAATGGTGATAGCTGATAGTGGTATTTATTTGTTTTTAATATTATTTGGCGAAGTAGAATGTTGACAAATTGGTACTGGTTCCCTCTATTTAAAAAATGTTACTCATCCATGAAATTCGAAACTGTGTATACTGTTCATCTAAACTACACAGTTTTATGCTTTCCACAATATACAATAAATATTTATTGAACAAATAAGTAAAACAGAGAGTTTCCATGATACCTTATATATTTTCTCTATGCTAAACAAGACAAAGTAAAATTAATTGAAGACATAATGTCTAGCACAATGGAAGGAGTACTGGGTCTTCAATGAATGGTATCTGTGAGTAAAAGCGAAAAGGAAACCTGGTGAATAGCTTTCGTTGATAATGTAGTTCCCCATGAAATTTATGTTTTCCTATTGATTAATTGTTCTTCTGCGAAATTCTTTCATTTTCAACTGTACTTGTTTCTGATAGGCTTCTCAATTTATCAGGAAACTACCAAAAGAAAAAAATGCCTCCAGGTTTTTGGAAGAAAGTACGAAATGTCTAGTCTAACTGTACTTGATACAGCCTTTTCTTTGAAAAAATAAATCCCCCTCCCCTTTTTTTTTTTGAGACAGGGTCTCTCTTTGTCCCTTGGGCTAGAGTGCATCATCACAGCTACAACCTCAAGCTCCTGGGCTCAAGCAATCCTCCTGCCTCAAACTTCCAAGTAGCTGGGACTACAGGCTCACATCACCACGCCCGGCCAATTTATTTTTTATTTTTTGTAGAAATGGGATCTCACTCTTGCTCAGGCTGGTCTGGAACTCCTGGCCTCAAAGGACTCTACCGCCTCGGCATCCCAGAGTGCTAGGATTAGAGGCGTGAGCCACTGCACCCAGCTAAAACCCCTATTTTTTTTTAAAGGATTTAAATAAAAGAGAGAAAGCATAAATATCTGTAATGTTTATATTAATGTTTCTCTTGAAATAACTTAATCCTGACTCAAAGTTGTATTGGTCAGCTCAGGCTGCCATAAGAAAACACCATAAACTAAGTGACTAAACAGCAGAAATGTATTTTCCCATAGTTCTGGAGTCTGGAAGTCAGGGACCATGGTGCCAGCATGGTCAGGCTTTGGTGAGAGCCATCTTCCTGGCTTGTAGAGGGTAATCTTTCTGCTGTGTCCTCACACTGCAGTTAGGGACAGCAAGATCTCTGCTGTCTCTTCTTGTAAAGGTGTTAATCCCATCACGAGGGCCCCACCCTCATGACCTCATCTAACCCTAAGGCCTCATCTCCAAATACCATCACATTAAGAGTTAGGGCTTCTGGCTCACTCCTGTAATC